TACAAAAGCGCATAACGTCCGTTAGTGTTTGGTTTGTAAAAGCAACAATGGCTGACGACGAAATAATACTTCTCTAACGAACGGTTGATTTTCTTCTAAAATTAAAAACTCGCTTTCTTGATTTTGTTCTAGCAACATAAGGATTACATCATTGATCTCATCATTGGACTTCGAATGACTTCCATAATTGAATTTGTAATTGGAAACTTGCTTTGGGTTGCGAACTCGAGAAGAGTCTGTTGTACTTTCCAAAATCGTCACGTCGGCATCTCCTATGGATTCTGCTAACAGCCGCGGAGCTCTGGAGCACGACTTGACGGCTTCTTTGCATTCCTGTTTAACGGAATGTTCTGTTGGTCTGTAAAACGGTGTGTCTTCTTTTGTTGCATTACCATGTTTTGATGGAATAATTGGAACAGGATTTCCAGAGCTAAAGTAATAATGAATGATAATCATCTTCAACCAGAGGTTGTACACCTTCAGACTTGTCAGATTTCCACGAACGCCGTTATACTCTTGTACGGACATAACAAAAATAACGTATCGCGTAAAAGAAGTGCTAAAATGCTTGAGAGTTTCTTTGTGTACCGCTCGTTTTCGCACTACAGCGTACAACTTGCTTAGGTCAGCAGCCTTACTTTTCCATTTACCATTTTCACGACGATTGTACGTCCCTCCGATAATGTTTCCTTTTCTGTCCTTCTTCACGTGCACTTCAGTTGATAAACTAAGTTCGCCGTCATCACTTAGGGTTGCTTGATAAAAACGGACCTGATCTCGCTTAATAAAAGATCCCGGCGTGTCATCTGCTTCAACATCATATGGGTGCTTAAGGTTGATTAAATTTTGCTGTACAACAAACGTAGCAGTTTCCTTAATCCGAGTTGGTTTTGCCTTAACAATTTTCTCTTTTGATACATCATGAAGAAGGCATATATTGAATATTTCTTCGAGGTTAGGACTGCTCTCACTAAAACATTGGTAGCTCTCGATTGTTGCGGTAATATTGTATATGGTCATCGTTTATGCTCAGGCAATCAACAGCTACAGGTTCTATTTTCACTGATCCTGTTGTAAGATTACCATCCTTTCATCATCAGTAAAAAGTCTTTTCCTTATGGGAGATAAACCAGTACTGCTAGGGAATGTTTCCTCTTGATCATTTGTCAGGTCAATTACCTCAGCACTTTGCCTCTTCCTTTTTGATGTTTCCTTCATTAACAAGGTGATGAAAGTACTTCACCATGAATTTTTTAAATACATTAGGGAACTAATATTAGCCTATGGATATAATGGCCTAAAAACAAGGTGCAACAGACACTTATTGGTACTGCACTGCAGTGCACTGCACTGCACACCACATGGCTATCTTTAAAATGGGGAACAGGAACATGGAAACAGGGGAACTACCCAGTGGCTCTGTTCCCCTAATCCCCAGTTCTCCTTCTCCCCTCTTCTCTATTACCACACTCCCTAGTTCACCCACTCCCCAGTCCCTCCAAACTAACAAACAAAAGTAATAAAATTTCAAATACTGCAATTTATATTAATCATATGGATCTGATCATAATTATACATTGTTTATTGTGTAATTAATGTAACACTTGGAGAATTCATTGGGAGTAGCATTTAGACTTTACACAATATGGTTTTGTCATTCTTTAACTATTCCTATAAATACATATATAATCAAGAAGTTGGGCATTTTGATATTTATAGTATTACAGGAAATGTATTCCAATAAATGTCATAAAAAGGTAATATACATAATAATGCAATGTTTTTTGGCAGCTAATTGAGGTTCACACAGTAGATAAAGTGTTTAATAATGTTTAAAAACTGCAATAATTCCTTATTACTTAATAATTTCAAGTTATAAAATGCACATTGTTGTTTCACTGTAAAATGTTTCTTTCAACAAAACATATACATCATAATTTATCATATTATCCATATGAATAATATAAATTGTAGTATTTGTAATTTGGTTACTTTTGTGTGTTAGTTTGGAGGGACTGGGGAGTGGGTGAACTGGGGAGTGTGGTAATAGAGAAGAGGGGAACAGGGAAACTGGGGAGCAGGAGAACTGGGGATTGGGGGAACAGAGCCACTGCCACTGGTAGCTCCCCTGTTCCCCTGTTACCATGTTCTACACCACACCACACCACACCACACCACACCACACCACACCACACCACACCACACTACACTAAACTGCAGAATCGAAAGAAAGATACTGATCAAAATAATAAACTATTAAATTTAAAGTCTTTAATTCTCACTCGTTTGTGTATTAACATTTTCATATTCGTACTAAGAATTGCATAATTTTACCATATCGATACTTGTACGAAGAATAGCATATCTTAAACGAATTACCTTTTCTGCGCCGTCTGAATCGTCAAAATCCATAATGAAAGTAAATAAAAGTGAAAGAACAAGGGCTATTCTGATTTTGGTCGTATATCCAACGTATGTCACTCGTATGTACTCGTATGTCACTCGTATGTAATCGTATGTCACTCGTATGTACTCGTATGTCACTCGTATGTACTCGTATGTCACTCGTATGTACTCGTATGTCACCCGTATGTACTCGTATGTAACTCGTGTTACTCGTGTGTTGTTTTAGTCACGATCCAAACAAGTAACATGTGTCGGCGCAAATATAGAGATACATAAATTACCTTTACTTTAATGTTTAACTAAAATTATTAGCTGTACCCTTATGATGATCGTTTCAGAAGGAACGTGAAACACTCGAGTCTAGCAATGTATCCAAATTTTGTAATATTTTATTGATTCTATTTTATAAATTCCTCTCTTTCACCTTGGATAGCCTACTTTACTTAATTGTATTACTTAACTTACTCTTGTTACTTAAGTATATGTTGTAAAACCAGTTCAAGCTGTGACATGTTCGTGATTAATTTTTTTTGTTACCACTGCTTTAATTAGGCTCAAAGGTGAAGTTATTCGATTCTGACTAACATTTTTTATCTGCATTATATATGTGCTCATTTTTTCAACATTTGGTACTAAAGGGATATCAACCAATAGTTAAAAACCAAATCTTTCCGAATGTGAAGAAATGTCGTTCATAGACTGAGTAGTTTAAGTACAATAGCGTGCTGAAGTTGGATCTTTTTTTATACACATACACATACATAGTACATATATACATCACTTAATTTAAAACACGGTAGCCCCACTCAACTTTAATAATAGTTGATTTCCAGGAGGGGCGTGTGAATAATACAGAGAAAATATAAAGATAGTACAATAATGCATACTAACATAGTACAATATTTACAAGATTAGAAGATAGTACAATAGTAATAACACACTACTGTATTATTAAAAAAAATGTGGTTTGGATAGTATGGCTAATGTACCTCTATACTCGCGCCGACAAATGTTTCTTGCTTGACACATATTTCCTTTTCTTTTGATTAGTCAATAACATCATATCACGCGCTTCAAGGCTTCAGGCTAATTCGTTAAAACCGTTCATAAACTTTAATCGTTCGAACGCTTCTGAGAGAATGTTTATTGATTGAATGTGTTTGCGAAAGTATGTGTGCACTGTGCACATAAATACACCTTCATTTGAATGTTTAACTAAAATTATTAGCTATACCGCTATTAACATTATATTATGCTATAATATTATATACATATATAGATTTCGGTTTTTCATTTCGGTTAAGCGTTAGAAAGCCTTGAGTTAAATATATGTTTATATAATGTCAAACTAATCAATGCATCATCAGCAAACTAAACATCAAAACATGCAGCGCATATATAGATTCATTTGCAACAATTAACGTTACAGGGTTTGTAAAATTCTCCACAAGCAAAATCCATGCATGAGTGATTAAAGACATAAACATAGGCGTACTTTTAGCAACCAAGTTACCACTCCGTATAATATACAGTTCACTGGCCGTCAAATCTAAAGCTTTCTGATGTCATACGTACGGTGGCCCACAAATGCAAACACAACGCAATATTAACTAAGCACGACGGTGTATTTAGTAAAGCTCAACAGCAAGTAAACTCGAAAAAATATCGATCGGCCCATCACAACACAATATTTGCAAAACACAACAATAAATTCATGAAACACAACGCAATATTTGCAAAACACAACAATAAATTCATAAAACACAACACAATATTTGCAAAACACAACAATAAATTCATAAAACACAACACAATATTTGCAAAACACAACAATAAATTCATGAAACACAACACAATATTTGCAAAACACAACAATAAATTCATGAAACACAACACAATATTTGCAAAACACAACAATAAATTCATGAAACACAACACAATATTTGCAAAACACAACAATAAATTAATAAAACACAACAATAAATTCATAAAACACAACACATTATTTCAGTGCAAAACACAACAATAAATTCATAAAACACAACACAGTATTTGCAAAACAAATGTAATACTTCATGTATAATAAATTATTAATAATACGATATCCAATGGCGAACCAGTGAACCGAACTTCGACTTGCTTTTACTTTCCGAAAATAGTATATTAAACCATGTTTTGCTCAGAATGTGGCAGACCCACGGAGGCAACAAATAAATTTTGCCCTACTTGTGGGGCATAAAGCAGTGGAAAAGGGGGAGGTCTCTTCCAAAAAAGACGGTAAAAAAGACATAAAATGTCTCACTTTTGAGCAGTTTGCTGCAAAAAAAAGGCAAGAAAGATCGACACATTTCAGAACGTCGTCCAAGACTAAAAAAAAGTCAAAAGATACAGAACCTTTTGCTTTAATAAACATTGGATTAATGAAATACATCAGCGCTGATACAACAACTCCAGTTCGGGGAAAATCATTGCCACTGAAAGTTAAAAAAGATGCCCCCTATGCAGAAGTTTTCACGATGGCGCTAACAAAACGGGCATATGATAAATCATTTACCAATTGAGTTGGCCTAGTATACCCTGACGGCCAACCTTGTTCAACTCTTCCTGGACAAGAAGAAGAATTCACATTGAGGAAGTATAAAGAAGACTTGGGGAAGCCATATAATAGAATTACATTATATTTATGTCCTGATGAACCCGACAATATGAATTCAGAAGACATTGGCAGTGATGATCACCATCAGTATGATCGTGATCAAAATGTCAGGTAAATTAATAAAATATATTTCTATAAAATTGGAAAATCCCAGGTTTTGACCCTAATGAGGTAAGGGGAAGTGCTGGCTGTGCAAGGTGCAGCCAGGAGGCTATAAAACACGTGTTTTATAGTCAACTTTCTGTAGAACACGTGACCTAAATCATTTGAGAAGTTCATTATTTGCAGAATAAAGGTTGAGCAATATTCAGTGTGGTTTTACTGAGACAAAAGGTGTACTATATAATATGAAAAAAATAAGCTAGTCTTTATGATGACTTGAAATGACATATAATTGGTAATATATAAATTAATTAACAATTATGCACCCCAAAAGTTACAACTGAAGTTGCCTATTGTTTAGAGGCTAGTTAATTGCCATCAGGCCCCTCTCCTTTTAGCACTTTGTTTAATTATGAAAAAAGTGAATTACTTAGGTTGTTTTTTCCAATTATTGCTTTATGGCTAATTTGGTGATTAAAATAATTACAAGATTAATCACTAGCTTCATGGATGTATGTAGCAGCACTCTGTCACACTAAATAACTAACATTGAATTAATGTTACTAGGAAAAAGGAACAAAAAGAAAATGACACTGCAGGATATATTGGTCCACAAAACAGGTAATCAAAATAAAATTGTTAATATTTTAGCAATAATATATCATGTATATAGTACTTCAATCAAGGTCATTCATGCTAATTATATGGCCTCATTTCCCTATAGTGATGATGGTAAATGTCCCATTGAAATTGATTCAGATTCTGAAAGACAACTTGATAGAATCAATTCTAGTAACAGTGTACCACCAAGTTATGGCGCAACACAACAACATGATAAGAGCTCTAGTTCCAATAATAATATTGTGCAAAGTAATGAAATTGATGCATCTTCATCTGATACAATGATGTTGCTTACTGCTAATGATGACTTGCTGTATGCATCTTTGCTTTTTGATGAGAATATGCATTGGAGTGATTCAGAAAGCGAATATTTACAGGACCCAGCAGTACCATTGGAGATTACAGATGATGACAAATCTTTGCAAGACATACTTTCAAATTTAAATACTCAAATTAACTCCAATGAAATATCCAAGTTTAATATAAGTCGAAGTCATTTGGGAAGGGGCTGTAAGAGGCCTAAGCAGAAAGACATTCTCTCCAGCAAACAAGGTCTCTGTCAAATTCACAGATGATGTTGGGAATGCTGAAGGAGCTGTCGATTCTGGGGGCCCGATGAGAGAATTCTTCACTCTCATTATTGAGTGGATGTTATGCTCTCAGTTGTTTTGTGGTAGTGAAAGAGGAAAGTGTTTGTCAATTAATTCCAATTACCTGAATAATGACTTTTACTTTCATGCTGGTCAGCTTATAGCAATGTCAGTAGTACATGGTGGGCCTGGTCCCAGATGTTTCAGTCAGTCTCTCTATGATGCATTGACAATTGGGGTGCAGAGAGCATCTGTAGATGTAGAAGATGTCTATGATTTTGAGCTACAAGGCTCTCTTAAATCTTTTGTAAGTTCCCCAACAGTTGAAGAAGCTCAAACTGTAATATCAAACAGCAATTTAGAAACAATTTTTGATCTTGCTGGAACCCTTGAGGTGCTTAAGACAAAAGAAGATGTTTTTAATGCTTCAGCAGGATTAAAACCAACGTCTAGTTAGCAGTGACTGTATTCCAAAAATTTTTTTGGCCACGGAAATTTTCTAATATAAGAGATATAGTTATGGGGTGTGTCCATTTTAGTCCTGCTGGTTGCACATACATGTATATAGTTACAAGTTACTTAGCTGATTACTATGCTTATGGCTATGCCATACGGTTGTGAATAGTTGTAAGTTGTTTTATTCAAATTTAAAAAAATCCATTTTTGATTCAACGAGTATGAAACTAATTTTCTTCCACCCGAGATTAGCCTGCGTCGTCGATGAGGCGATGTTTTCTTCAAAAATGATATTATTAATTAATTGTAAATTACAAATTGTAATGTTCGCATATATAAGTACATCGATCAGTGGTGTTTATGCGAAATGCATCAAGTTATTGTATAACAATAATGCTTCCCTCCAGTTTGATGGTAGTGTTAAATTATTTTTTCCACGAGATAACTAAAGTATTCATCATATATGCTCATCACCATCATCGTCATCATACAATTCACAGTATTCAGCCATATCGCAAAGGTCTTCTTCAGAAACGACACACTTGTAATCTTGGTAGCCGCTATTTTCAGGTAAATAATACAGCTCGTTTGGCCTCCCTGGGATGGTGTCATATCGGGATCTGCGGATATAGTGGCTGTTCCAGTTATCTTTTACCGAATCAAGATCTGCCTGTAAAATATCTTTGAAACAAAACCAAAGGCATTCCATGCTTGTTTCATTTGCGGTATTAACAACATTTCTTTCCACTAAATCTTTTAAGAAATTTATCCACCATGTGGATCTGTCGTGGCGAAGGAATGACCACCATCTTTCAATGCGTTGATTGGAATGCGACGATCCATATACATGTGCATTTAAACCTGCTTGGTTGTCATTTCCTGGGGCACGAAGGTAACACTGCATTGAAGCCATGACTCCGTTCTCGGTGCCGCAATCAGTTCGTAATATTCTTGGGCAACCATTGGTTATTTTCACGCACTCGTAGAAAAACGATGCAACATGTGATGGATCGTTGTTTGTTCGACAAACCTTCAACCACATAACACGACGACTAAACCCGTCCACACAACCGTGAATCGGAAAACCATACGGCTTTAGCTTGTCATACCCGTCTACATGCCACGCAAAGTTAGGCCCAGGATTTACATAGGATCTTCTTCTAAGTCGACGAGTTCTTCTTAATTCGGTTCCCTCTGGATCGATTTTGCGCAGAATTCTTTCGACATTATTTCTGGGCGTTTGAATTCCATATTTTAGACGGAGACTGTGCCACATCGCACGATACCCTCTCATACATCCAGGACCATCTAATTCTTGTTGGACTGCTTCATAAACGACTGCATTGGGGGTATCTGTACCTCTTCTTTTCAACCCATATTCTGACAGCCTATTTTGCAGAGTTCGAATAGAAATTTCGATCTCGTGCCGGTTATTTAAAAACGAAATAATTGACGAATAACTAAATCCACGATGAAAATAATAGCGTATAAGAAGTTCTTCCTTGTTTACAGCAGATCCACATTCTGGACAAAAGTTCATTGAGGTTAGTTCTAACTCCCGAGAGCAGTACAAACATTGTATACTCCCATCCATTCTGTTACATAAACGAGCTACATCTCTGCTGTCAATATGTCCTCCTCGATTTTTTAAGAATTTTTCTTTTACAATTAATTGTATTTATAGTGATAACCTCATTCAGTATAACACGTCGTGGCTGCATGTGTCGTGTTTAAGGATTTTTTTGTTGTGTTTTGCACTGAAATATTGTGTTGTGTTTTATGAATTTATTGTTGTGTTTTGCAAATATTGTGTTGTGTTTTATGAATTTATTGTTGTGTTTTGCAAATATTGTGTTGTGTTTCATGAATTTATTGTTGTGTTTTGCACTGAATATTGTGTTGTGTTTTATGAATTTATTGTTGTGTTTTGCAAATATTGTGTTGTGTTTTATGAATTTATTGTTGTGTTTTGCAAATATTGTGTTGTGTTTCATGAATTTATTGTTGTGTTTTGCAAATATTGTGTTGTGTTTCATGAATTTATTGTTGTGTTTTGCAAATATTGTGTTGTGATGGGCCGATCGATATTACTTCGAGTTTACTTGCTGTGGAGCTTTACTAAATACACCGTCGTGCTTAGTTAATATTGCGTTGTGTTTGCATTTGTGGGCCACCGTATGCACTCGAAGTCATCCAGTATAAGTGTATAGGAGAATATGTAAGAAAAAATATTGTCTCATTTCAAACAAGGCTTAGCTTAAATTACTTGCAAAATCTCGTTAGAGATTTTTCGTGACCTCTTCGGTTCCTTTCTCGAGACTTCATTTTCAGTAGCTGTTATGACATATTATAACTCTAGTACAAATAAAACTCGACCGGAGCGTTAAAAAATTCATTAATTCAAGGAAGGAATATATTTGCATATTTCGTGTACAGATAATTACGTTTTTATTGAAGAATGGATCGAAGGAAAACTGAATGTATGCATATACATATACGTATTTACATAGCATATTATAAATTATTTAATAATTGCGCCTGTCACGACCTTACGACCAGAGTGTCTTGATGTTAGTTCACGGTATTACACCGATTAGAGTATTTTCTAAACATGAGACAATCGTGCGTATGTGTTATTCATTTCGTAGCACTTATATGATATTATAATTATATTAGAAATACAGAAATTATATATTTTATAATTTTTAATGTAAAAAAGATATCATAATTATATTGGAAACACGAAGATAGAAAACAATAAACTTGGTTTACTTCACTATGATATTATTCACTAAAAAATTTGTTTCGCGATATAACTAATAATTTAGGCATTGTGAAATGAGACCATGAAAAAAATCAGGCATTGTCTTCCACACTTATAAGCCGAGATAACTTTCGGTGCATGCATAAGGCATGCATACACAGTATAGAGCAGAAATAACCTAGCACTGGTTCGTTTGCTGTTCGGTTGGGGTCGACGAATAGCAACCGCAGACGACCGCAACCGGAAAAAAAATGCTTCCAAACGGAATATTATGAATTGCCCAGAACGATAACACAATAATCAAATCGAAAACATCTTAAGAAATGTCTGTCAACTGTTTACCCTAGAATGTGGTATTGAGTGAAAACTTGACAGTCCCTGTTTCTTTTCCATTTTAGTCTGCCTACGCGTATCCAGCCTTTTTTAAAGGCACGCAAGGTTAGTCCCATGGGAATACAAAAATTTCTGTTATCGGGGCTAAAGAAGCTTAATTGCATTATAGGTGCATATTAATAGCAGGTCATAAGTGCTACCGTGAACGTGTTTACAAAAACTCTACTTGGAAGCCCCTGGACACAATTTCATTCCCCCGCCCACACACACGATATATATATATATATATATATATATATATATATATATATATATATATATATATATATATATATATATATACATATGAATTAGTTTGACTTGACTAGAACGTAATCAGCTGTTCGAGTTATTATCACCACCAGAAGAAATGGTAGCACGTTGTTCTTTCTTTTCGCTGGTATTCTTTCTATGACGATGTATGGCGAAGCAATCTGTTGTGAAGAAATCAAGTCGATAATGAACGAGAAGATTAAAGCTGGAAAAATACTGTGCGCACCAGGCAACAATCTCCCTCCCGGCTGTTGCAAAGATATTTGGAAATCAGTTGATGAGCATATTGCTGCGTATATAGCTGTTTGTGCGGACAATACAGGTACAGTACAGATATAGTGCATGTCTTTGTCGGGTATGCACGCGTGCATGGTGGTGTTTTATATTGATTTCGTTATCAGATATTTACCCTCATATTTGGTTGCGAGAAATTTTTAAGAGACCTGCAGGGTTTATAGAATTAGAAATACAAGCATGCCGCAAACCCCTCGCCGATTTAGACTAAAATATAAATATATAATTTCAGAACTGCCAAATCCGTATCACCCTAAATTTCTGAGTATACCAAGTTAATGTCAAGTAACCCGAACTGATGCGGTAATTTTACCTGCCGGTGGTGTAAAGCGTACACCAAGTCATGGTAAACTAACACAACGTTGTAGGGTTTTAAATTAACTTACAAATGGCATGGCATTTTACGCTGAGGTAACCCGAAAGGCTCGCTGCACTCTTTTGAGAATATTTTATTTCGCGCATTTGTTTACATGGTTATTTTGTAAGCGGAAATTGCCTGGCACGCGCACTTATATTTCGCCTGTCTATATTATATGGCATTTAGTTGAGCAATCGTATTTTGAAATTCAACTTTTTTCTGCTAGTTCCATACACAAATCCCAAACCATTACAGTATCATCAACATTTGGTAGCTTGCCCAAAAGCTTGCTGCTGATAAGTAAAATGAACTAGGAAACGATTCTTTTTGGTAATATTTTATTTATTGCATTTCTTCATATGGTTACTTATTAAGCGAGAGTTTTCTATCTTCAATTGGGATGATGGTCTTTCATGGCGCACGCTTATATTTCGGCTGACTATAATTATATGGTATATAGAGGTATTGAGTAATCATATTTTGATATAGAACTTCTTTCTTGTAGTTCGATGTCCAAACCCCAAACCATTGGGAATGCAAAGCGGCAAAATACCCGATTCGGAAATCACAGCATCAACAACTTTTAGTAATTCATACCACCCTCACTTCGCAAGATTGGATAAGAGTGGCGGTGCTTGTAGTTGGGCGCCAACCCGAGCAGGAAGATCTGGCTCGTTTACAAGTTGATCTTGGACAAAAAACAGCTGTCACAGGATTTGCAACTCGAGGAACATGTTATAACCATGCAGAGTGGGCGATTTCTTACTCGATTGCTTACAGCAACAATGGTGCTGATTGGACTGATTATGAAGAGTCAGGGACTGCGAAGGTAATCAAATAACTAATATTTACAATTGGCTCTGGCTTCCCACATGCTCTTGCATAAAAATTCAACGAAATTTCTAATGTTGCAAAAAGTGAGTCGTTCATCTACCTGGCC